GAATATATATTCACTCTTACATTCACTGCAGTACTATTTATAATAGCCAAACTACAGAAACAAAGCAAGTACCCTAAGACAGACAAGTGATTAGGATGATGTGTTTTATATGCCCAGGAATACTACTCAGTAATGAAAAATAATAAACTCCTGCCATTGCAAAAAACATGTATGGAACGGGAGGGATTTATGCTAAGCCAAATAAGCCAGAAGGAAAAAGATAAATGCGTCACTTACAGGTGGAATACACAGAAACAAACCAAAGGATCAGATAAAACCGAAACAGTAACAAACTCAAGAAATTTGACTGCAGAATTGAGGCTATATAAGAAGCAGAGACAAAAGGAGAAGGGAGCAGAACAGACTATGGTGGAGGACTTTTGGTGCCTTGGTGGCAGATGTAGTATGACAGCATATACCTGAAAGATGTATATATACCTCAATACCTCTAAGTCATATACAATGTTCTAAACTACTGTTACCTCAAAAAAAAGTAGTATATATACTTAATTGAATACTACTCAGAAATATTGCCATTGCGACAACACAGATGGAATTGGAAAGAGATTATAAACAAATAAGGAGAAAGACAAACATCAGGTGGTACCATTTATATGTAAAATACAGAGAAATGAAGCAAAGGAATAAACTAAACAAACTAAAACAAGCTCTAAAAATCTAACCGCAGAATTGATGTGACCAGAAAGGGAAAGTAGGGAGTGGGGAGCAAAGTGTGGAGGGGCTATGCTGGATTATGGTGCCTTGAGAGCGGATGTGGTGTAACATACATCTGAAAAGGTATGGACCTGTAGCTCTGAATGCTATATGGTGGTGTATGCCAACATTACCTCAATTTAAAAAATATAAAAAATAAATTTAAATGTTCTCATAAAGTAATAACTATAGAAAAGGAAAACATATACATTTATATAATCTTATATTGGACAAGGCCTTTTTAAGTACAGCAACAATTTGCAATGACTAATTTAACTTAAAAAAAAACTGGTTTCATAAAGCAAGTAACACAAAATAAGAAAAGGTTAGGAAAAAATGTCCTAGCTATTTGTGACCATTTATTATGGCCCTTAATATGGAAAGGTGTCCTTCAAAAAAAAAAAAGACAGATACTGTCTGAATTCACTCATATGTGAAATACTAAGGGATACCCTGCAGAATTCTGCAATTCTGCAATTAGTGCAGAACTGTGGCTACCAGAGAGGGAAGGCCTGGTATGAGGAACAAACAGGGAAGGATTATGAGGAAGAATATAAGTGGTGAGTATGATGTGGTAACATATATCTGAAAGGTATGAACTTATACCTTTTTTTTAACATTTACAAAGTGTTTTAAACCAATGTTCCTAATTTTTTAAAAAAGGCAATTTTTAAAATTAGCAAAAAAAAGTACTTCAAATCAATAAAGGAATACTTCAATTTATAAAAGAAGAAATAATTCATAAAATAAAAAAAAATTCAACTTTCCTGACAATCAGAGATACAAATTATTATGATTCCATTTTCAATAAATAAGGCTTTAGCACATTTACAAAGCCCACTACTGTTTGGGTATAGGAAAACAATACTCAGCTACTATGTTGGTGGAAGTTTAAATTAATATAACCTTTCAATGAATCAATATAGATAAATATCTTTAAAAAGTCCAACACCTTTAACAAAGTAGTTTCTCTTGGCAGAAATTAATTCAAAGATGGTATTTGTTTTCCATAGCTGCTATCACAATTTAACACAAACTTGGTGGCTTAAGATAATGGAAACTCATTCTCACAGTTCTGGAGGCAAGAAATTTGAAAGCAAGATGTCAGTAAAGCCACACTTCCTCCAGGGGTTCTAGGTGACGTTCGTTCCTTGCCTGTCGTTTCTGGTGGTTTCCAGCATTCTTTAGCTTGAGACCACATCACTCCAAACTCTCATCTTTACATCCCCTTCTCCTCTTCTGTGTGATTCATCTCTTTGTCTCTCCTTTATAAGAATATTTATGATGGGATTTAAGACCTATATTCATATTCCAATATCATTTGCTCATTTTATGATCCTTAGCCACATATACAAAGACCCTTTCCCAAATAAGATAATATTCACAGCTTCTAATGATGTGACTTAGCTAGTTCTCAAAGGGTGTGGGGGATGTCTGCCTACCATAGAGGGTAATAATGAATCACCACCTAAAGATGTTATTCCAGCACTATGTATAGCTGAAAAAATGAAATAATCTAAGTGTTTAACAGCAAGGTTTCAGTTAAACAAATGAGAGTGCACTCATATAGTGAATACTCAATCATTTAAAATAACACTGATGTTGGGCCCTCCCCGGTGGCGCAGTGGGTTAAAGCACAGCACTAAGAAGCTTAAGCCACTTCCTCATGAGTTCGATCCCCGCCTGCCCCGGAGGAGATCCACATGGTGTGGCAGACCTCTCCTGACCCGCCCGCTGCTCCCCTCAGCAGTGTACTTCGTTCATCTGCCTGTTCTGCTCCCCACTCTGTCCCTGGTGAATCCTCTCACCCTCCGCATCTCTGGCCTGTACCCCAGTTCTGTATGAATAAATAAATAAATCTTTAAAAAAAATAAATAAATAAATAAAAAACACTGATGTAAATCATACCAATTATATACTGTTGCATTTTTTTAACAGTAATAATTACTGCAGGCAAGATTTATTGACAGACGCTAAAATCAGTGGACAAAAAGCTCAGTACAAAAAAGGATATTTGTATAGTATTAATGTGTCTCCCTCAAGATATTTGTTCATTGCAAAAGGAAGAATAGTAACTTCACAATTCAGAAAGTGAGAAGATACCAGCCTACACATGTTTTCCAGGTTAGTATTACCATCAGTAAGGTATATCAGCATTGGGGAACCAAAGGGCGACTGACTGCTAAGACACATAACTTCTGCCATATACTTGACCAAATGCATAGCTTCTATCTAATCAAGAGAAAATATCAAATGAACTGAAACTAAGGGATAATTTGACAAAATAACTGATTCGTACTCTCCAAAAATGTGAAAATCATGAAACTGAGGATCCACTACAGATTGAAAAAGACAAAGGCTATGTGATCAACAAATGCAATATGTGAATCTTGAATAGGATACTAGAAAATAAAAAGGTCACTAGTGCAAAAACTGGTAAAATTTTAACAAGTTAAAATTTACAGTTTAATAATATGGTTAAGTATTGTACCTAATGTTAATTTCTAAGTTTTGATCATTATACTATGGTTACAGAAGAGGTTAACTTCAGGAGCCACTGGAGTGAAATTGTATAGGACGCATGGTTTATTTTGTAGCTTTTGTACAAGTTTAAAATTATTTCAAAATTAAAATTTTTTTTAAATTTTGTAGCATGACAGTGATCATTTTATTGTGTTCTTGATTCTGAGGGTCAATAATATGAGGGACACAACAAGAACTATTTGTCTCAAGTTTACCATAAGGTGACTGCATTTCATGGGAGGACGCTGGTACAGCTTAACTGGGGTCTCACTTTGCCTATTCTCTACTGGTCTGTGCTGTGGATATAACAGGGTTGTTCCTTTGTATCTGGTGCCTACAATGAGACAGAGGGAACATCCTGTTGTATTAGTTGCCTAGGACTGCTATAACAAACTACTATGTATTGAGTGGCTGAAAACACTGTGAATTTATGCTCTAACATTTCTGAAAGTTGGACATCTAAAATGGTAGGACATGCTCACCTGAAGTCTAAGGGAGAATCCTTCCTTGCCTCTTTGTAGACTCCAGTGGCTAAAGAAAATCCTTGGCATCCCTTCGCTTATAGCTATATTGCTCCAATACCTTATCTCTGTCTTCACGTGGCTTTCTTCCCTGTGTCTTGATGTCTCTGCATCTTTCCATGGTTTCTCCTCTAATAAAGAAACCCGCCATTGGATTTAAAACCTACTCTAACCCAGCATGATCTCATTGTAGCTAGTTAACTGCATCTGCAAAGATCCTATTTCCAACTAAGATTACATTCTGAGATTCCAAATAGTAGTAGTGACGGAATAGTACTAAACTCACTATACAGGGGAACTGGCTAGCATGAGCTTACCTCTGTACAGAGGTAGACCCAAACATATCTCAGCTCCCAATACCAGATCCAGAAAGAAACAATTATGTATGAAGGAATTTCATACATATCAAAGCCCAAGCTAAAGAGCTGCAGTATCTGATACAGGTTCTTGTAATTCTAAAATGTTAGACATTCACTTCACATAAGACAAATAGATATAAGAATTTTCAGAGAAATCAGAGGCTCTTGCTTGGAGTCAGTCTAATGACCAAGTAATACCAGATGACCATTTAAATGTGTTTGGAGCATCCAACAGCACTGCCAAAAAATACCAAGTGCTTCCTAGTACCCAAAATTGTTACCACTATGTAAGTAAATTAAAGGTACTCCATATACTTTTGGAAGAAGAAGAGTAAGAAGAGAAGGTGGAAAAGAAGGCTAGGGATGAGGGGAGAAAGAGAAGAAGAAGACAGAAGGAGAAAGAAGAGGGGGGAAAATCAGGGAAGTGGATAAGTACAGAATTAATTGGCTGGTCTCTAACAGCAGGGCTGAAAGCGCACAGGAAATAGGACTTAAATAAGTAATAAACTTTTCTGAAAGGGTCTGAAGAAGACTGAGTGAGATACCTCAAGGGATGACCCTAGACTGAGTTAGGTACCTCAAGGGTAACCCTATGTTGTTAGGGGACTCTGCATAAATTAGGTGTCCTGAGGCATCCAAGACACACAGAAAGCAAGGTCAAAATAGACACCCTGTGTATTCCCTGATTTTTCACTGCCCTACCTCTCTCTTCCTTGAGGAGAGAAGCATATGCAAGCTCAGGGTAAATCCTACCAAACCTGATTACTGCCCCTAAAGAAAAGTTAAACTCACAAAGAAAAAGAAACAATAATTGAATTGGCAATTTTACTTTAAATATTCTATGACTGAGATAATACAAGATACATGTATCAGTTTTACTTACCAACAATTTCTTCTGCCGCAGTAGTCAAAGCTAGAAATTTTTTTGTATTTTCCATCTCCTCATTACTTCGCAAAGCTTCACTATTTTTTGCAGACTAAGTAAAGAGATATGAAAGTTTAAACATGGGTAAAGAAGGCAAATACACTCACTGATTTAATTCCAACATGGTTTCTAATCATAAAAGCAAGTTTATATGTTTATGTAAATAAAAACAAGAAGGCTCAGGTAATTTTTATTTCTTTAGTTAGGAAGTCTTACAACGCTTCCTGTTCCCATAAAGTTGTTAGTATTCCCAAAAAGAGTTAAAGTATATATCTATCATTATATGATAATTACCTGGTTTCAAGTTTCTATTTAATATTTCTGTAACTAATGGGTAACCCAGAGGAATACCATCAAATTATAATTTCAGATTAATCTGTTTCCCCAAAAATAAAAAGTTGCATTCGATCAGAATAAGTTATAGATATTTTCAAAGTTTACACAGGCTATTTCTCTAGTTTGAAGCATAGCATTTTGTAGATTGCTTTATTTCCAACCCAGTGGTATTCATGGGAAACTATTTAACTTCTTCATTACTTCATATTGTCATGCAGGAAATTTCTTCAGAAGTCAGTCAATTGATCAAGGACAAATTTATCAAAAACAACCAATCAGTTATTATAATGCTCCTTACCTTACTTACAAGTGTTACTTGAGGGGTAATGTTCAAATCTGAATCAATGGCTATATATCAAGTCAGTACCAAATCTGGTCAACTTCTACCCCTCACTACTACAGAGAATAAGAGGTGCAATAATGCCAAGGAAAGTTAGTTGAGCACTAGAAATTTATTGAGACAGAAGGGAATAGAGCATGATCCTAGACCCTGAGCACTTTACAGCTTCCTGAAGACAGTTTGACCAGCATATGAAACAGAGTACTCTCCCATTAGTTAGTAACAAAAGTTCATTTAAATTATGATGGAAAACAGAGGGTTAATATTTTATATATTTGTGTATTTATCTTCAAATTGTAAACCTGCTGAAGAAAAAGTAGACATATAGAGTCAAAAGTAGGCACCAAAATCCCTTTCTATGCCTGAGATGTAGGAGACCCAGACTGAGAGAGACCTGCTGGGCTTCCAGGAGAATGAGCACCACAGCACAGTGAGTGCCTGACAGCTGGAATACTGCAGTTACCTACTTCAGTTCCAAAAGGTAATTTCTTCACTTCACCCCTCACACATGTGCAAACCACTGTCACTCTACCCACAAAATAAATCAACAAAAGCAGACCGCATTAACACTATCACAATCCATGGTTTTCTTGTATCTTAAGAAACTGTTTCTTACGTGTCAATATATGGTTATAGAATTCTTACCTTAAGTTCTTCCCACAGTTTTATTCTCAATTCTAGACCTTGCTTCTTAATTTCCTTTTCTCTATTTTGTCTTTTCACCAATATCTTATCAAGTTTCTTCATCTTCTGAATAGCATCTTGAAGTTGAGAATCTATTGATTCAGGTTTATCTATATTGTGTTAAGATAGAAATAAGTTTGAATTTTAATAAAAGTTTTGCTGTGTTTTGTTTTCACCATCTTTACCTTCATTCAATAAATGTTTATGACTGATGGTAATACCATTGGTATCATTCATTTTGATTTATAAGGTGCTTTCATGTATTTTTCATATAATAACCTAAAAAAACCTGTGAAATAGACAGCCAGGTCCTTTCAAAAAACTCAAAAATTGGGCCCTCCCTCATGGTGCAGCAGGTTAAAGCACAGCACTGAGAAGTTAAAGCCACTTCAGCATGAGTTCGATCCCTGCCCCGGACGTGATCCACATGGCATGGCAGACCTCTCCTGACCCGCCCGCTGCTCCCCTCAGCCTGTTCTGCTCCCCGCTCTGCCTCTGGTGAAGCCTCTCACTGCCCCTGCAGCTCCAGTTCTATCTGCATAAATAAATAAATCTTAAAAAAAAAAAAAACCTCAAAAATTTTAACAATGAACTAGAAGTAGGTCACATGTGATTTTAAATCCCAGATTCTTACTCATCTTCATTCAACTACACCATCCTCATTCATAACCAGCAGATAAGGAATAAGACAAAGACACAAACCAAAAGCTGCTTTAGACTAACAGAAAGAGAAGGCCTATTCACAAATAGCTATAGTAAGAAGTAGCATGTCAAGGACACAAAGTGGTTCCAACATAACAAAGTAAATTCAGAATATTATTCCATGTAATTGAACAACTTTTTTTTCCATGTTCCTTCTGTCTGTTCTATATGCTTCAAGTACCTTAAAAAAAATTTCTGAATTCTTAATAATAGCAATTTATTTGAAATTCAGAACAAAGGCATTATCTCATTAATAATGAGTGTGAATTGTGTATTATTGTTATTACTTCATAAATTAGTAAATTGAAGTTATCTGAGTTATATGCAAGTATTTGAGGTTGTCTGAGTTATATGCACACAGATATAAGTAGCAAAAAGCAGGTATCTGTCTGACTCGGGAAATCAAAGTTCTTAACCAGCAGTCAACATTTCCTCTATGAAATTTAACCAAAGACATAATCTGGCAATGAGCATAAATATCCAAACACCAAAGTCATAGTCAACCCAGCTTATGTTATTAGATGGCATATTATTCTAAGAAAGGCCAAATTTTGCATGTTTTGAAAATTCACTGATGTTTCCCTATATAGTGCATATCACTTCTTTAAGGAAAAGGGGGTATTCTAGAGGGAATAAGTTTAATCACAAAGAATATTGATCTTATTAATAAGGAGGCTCTCCAAACCTTATTGCTTGTGTAATTTAAATGCAACACCCTCTAGTACTAATTTTCAACTACCCATCCAAGCATTCTTAGGTTGCATAAACATAGGTGGTCTCTATAGCATACTTTTTTTTTTTTTAAGATTTATTTATTCATACAGAACGGGGGTACAGGCCAGAGAGGCGGAGGGTGAGAGGCTTCACCAGAGACAGAGTGGGGAGCAGAACAGGCAGATCCGATGAAGTACACTGCTGAGGGGAGCAGCAGGCGGGTCAGGAGAGGTCTGCCGCGCCATGTGGTCACCTCGGGGGCAGGCGGGGATCAAACTCATGCGGAAGTGGCTTTAGCTTCTTAGTGTAGTGCTTTAACCCGCTGTGCCACCAGGGAGGGCCAAAATACATTTTTTAATAACTCAGACAGTACTGTAACAATATGAAAAAACAGAATGAAAGCTGGGTCAAAAGCTAATCTCAACTCAACAGTTCTCTGGTAACTATAATCCAGAGTCACCAGTCCTTACTTTGAGAGCTCATCCCAAACGTAATAGATATGAAAACTTCTCAGACATTATAATCTCAGCTTCCCTTTACAGAGTTAAAATATATTAGGACCCCAAAATTCTTCTGGTTTTTTTGGTTTTGTTTATGTTAGTTACATCTATTGATAACTACCATGTTAGAACACTAAACAAACATGTTTGAAGCATTTTTTTTTTACAATATTTAAAACTAATAAAGAGGAAGTGTACATGACAAATGGGGATAGCACATGATCCAGGGGGCTGCAGCATACCTGCACAGAAGAGAGGATGGGTGACAACAGGGGTGTAAGGTGGGACTAAAGAAGATTCGGAGGGACATAATTGAAACACCCCCAAACCCCCAAAATGCAAACCTGCTCAATGTAGACAATGTAACAATTTTTCCAAGCAGTTACTCCAATTTGGAGTCATTCCGGGCTCACCATCAACCTGACACCCTGAGTAAGGACATAACTAGGAACAGACTGTTTTAAAACAAAAGATTTGTTTCTTAAAGGAAAACATGCAGAGTATATCGTTTTGACATGAGTTTTTAGAATGGGCTTATGGAAGGAGAGGAAAATCGATCATGTCTGAGACAGCTTGTACAGGTCTGAAGGAGCCCTCCCTGGTGGCAAAGCGAGTTAAAGTACAGCACTAAGAGCCACTTCAGCATGAGTTCGATCCCACCTGCCAAGGAGGTGATCC